TTTTTGCTATGCTGCGCATTTTGCTTGATTTATTTATATATATATATTTATTTTATTTAATTTTTTTTTTCAATATTCTTTCAAATTTTGATTCGTTTAATGCAGCTGCATTGCACGTTGCGGCTGTTTATAGACACATATATTCTTTTTCTTTCCATATATTAAACAGAACGCCCACACACACAAACACACAATCACACACACATACACACTTGGCACAGTGGGGCAAATAAACACATAGAGGAGACGGTTTTAAAAACTTTTTTCTTTTATCTCGACACGCAGCGCGTATGACGGCGTTTCAAAAACTAAATTCATGTATTTTAAACAGCACGCCAAATGCTTGAAAATTTCGAATAGAAAACCATTTTTATAAATTCGCTCTCGACGCGCGGCCAAAGTGTTCTCTGCGCACGCTCTCAAGGCAAAAAAAAAAAAGAAAATATTTAGAAAAATTTGAAATTGAAATTAATTTTGGCCGACAAAAAGCATATTTTTAGCCACTTGCTCGGACACAGTTGAGCGCGCAGCCGATTGACCTTATAGCAGGTGCAGCATAGTTCAATAATACTGGAATTATGAACATATATATAGATTTATGTTACATATTTTTATATATTTACATATATATAGAGTCTCGAGTATCTGGCTTAAGTAGCCGGCGTCTGTTTATGGTGTGACAATAGCTAAACTCTTATCATTTACTTTGGGCACATTAAATGGGTCTCAATTACGCAAGTTTCTTGTGCCTAGATTATACGGTTTGTGTGTAGGTGGGCTTTTTTTTAAGGGCGTAACGCGTCTTACCCTGTGATAAAAACCACTCGTCTAGAAAATCCAAACCCATTTTTTTTAGCGCCTGCCTCTGTTCTTTTGTATTCCTGTAAATCTGTTTTCTTTGTTGATTCTTTAGTTTCTCTTGCAATATTTACATTGTCGCAATCGCCCAGTTGTGCTGTAGCCTTCTCTCCGTTCTATCTGTTGAATGCGTTTGACATTTGCCGCAGACTGATTGCGGGAATTAGCTATCGTTTAGTGCGTGATATTATTTTTAGTAACGAACTGATTGCATATCGATTAGTTGTAATGCATTCTCACTGCGAACCACCGCGAACAACGTACAAAACTCTAGATCAAAGGAACTCACGAAACTTTGGAAAAAGATGTTCAGAAAACATAAAAGTACGCCATAAAAAAGTTTACGGAGAAGCTTATATGACATTTCTGTATTATTAGAACTCCATAAAACTGTGGGTTATAGAAAGATGTAGAGTTAGAAAGAATATGAAAAAAAAAAAATAAATAAAACTAAAGATGTTTCTGGTACTTTTAAAAGTTACTAGAACATATATTCCGTTTGTGTGTTTGTTTGTTTCCAGATACTTAATATATATGCGAAGAATGCAAATTAAATTAGAAATACCATTTCCAGGGTGAACCAGTACAAAAAGTTAAGAACTTCCAAAAAAAAAAATCTGGATCTAGATAGAAAGTCTCGAAACATTTTAAAAATTAAGAGACCATAGGTGCCATTTCTATATTTTTAACTCCTTATACTTAAAATTGATTCCTATTAAAGGGAAGAATGACACTAAAATTATAAATTGCATTTTTACTATGTGATCATTAGAAGTCTATGTACCGAGAATAGAATCTTGAATATAGATTGTAATTAAAAATAAAAAGGTTTCTGTTACTATTGAAATACTATATTAAACTTACAGGAAAACAGTCATTTAAAAATGCCAAAAATAAAGTAAAAGCAAAGAAATAGCTGGAATTATGAAACGAATAGAAATAAATAATAAATAGGTTGTGATAAGGAGTTCTTGTCAATTTTGAATTTTTAGAAAGAAACATTTATTTATTCAAATAAATTATTAAAAATAAATGTGTATATATACACATATAATAACATTATATAACAATATTAGCTTTGAGCTATTAAAACAGACCCAACTGATTATAGTATAGAAAACTGAAACTAGAAAAAGTTAATACACATCTAATTAGGAAAAGAAAGGTAAAAAGTAATTAAAGTTCAAAAGGAAATGAATTAAAGCAGGAATTGCAGTCGAACCAAAGGCGACAAAGAGTTAAAATAAAAAGGAAGGGAAAAGCAAAAGGCAGCTTGAGATGGGCTTGCGAGATAAAAATTGAATAGTTTAAAAGCCGGGCTACATTAGGAATCGACGACTGCGTGAAGAAAAACAACTTAAAAAGCCAACAGGAAAAAAGCACAGAAGCATTGCTATGAAAGCAAAGAAAAAAGTATAAAAATAAGAAGAAATCTAAGTGGAGACCGTAAACGGATTGAAAGGAAGAAATAAAGAGCAAATTTCCGAAAAAGAAAAGCAAAGGAAATAAATGCCAAAATGCGGTGACGCAAAATGCTGAACAAAAATGTGATAAGGTGGAGTTATGAAAAGAAAAGGTATTCAGTTCCATGAGCGCGGGGGAATGCATAAAAAAATGCCAATATAGAAAAAAGTCAGCCACCTCCCTAGTATTATGTGAAATGTAGCCCACATAATTTCAATTAACTTCTCAGTTGGCGTTGCTCGTCAGTGTCAAATTACAGAAATATCTCAAAATAGATGAGCATTTAAATGGGCAGTCGCTTCTCTCGTGGGCTTATAATTAATTAATTTATTTCTATTTAAAATTCTATGAAAATATGCTCCAGTAATTATTATTTCTCGCTCCAAATATATTTCCATTTGCTGCGCTGCACAAAACCAATTTTAAATTAGCTAAACGTTTGCTTAAACGCACGTAAACAAATGTGCGCACACACATACAAGCACACACAAGTATATACAAACAATAAATGTTTTATAATTTAACGTTTTTCAACACTGTCATTTGCATGCCTAGATATTGCACTAGGCGTATGCGTAATAAAAACATTGACAAAACAAGCGAACTTCTGCGGTGCACGGGGTAAAGTGAATATAATGTTAGTTGCAGCAAGTGAAAAAATTCTTACACTTTTTATTTGTACTGCATTCTGTTTGTGAAATTTCCCAGATGAACATAAATATGTATGCATATATATATATATGTTGTGTGCATGGAAGTTAGTCGAAAATAAACGCTCGCATAGTTTTGAGGCCATATGCAGCAAACAAATTTGCGCTGCATACTTTTTGGCGGTGTCAGAAAACATTGACTACCACTTGTATACGCTGTAACATTTATGGTAGTGTGGATATATTAGCAAAAGCGGTTTTCGGGATTGTTAAAGTGTTTTATTCATTAAATATTAAAAATATACAAAATTCTAATATAATGTCTAGTGAAAATGTTGTTTCTACCCTGAAAGAAATATTCATAAAATGTAATAAAAAGTTAAAAATAATAGCATATAGTAGGAAATAGGAAACCCCTCTATATATTCCAGTCGATCTTATTTACAAGCAAATCATAAAATATTTTGATGTTTTTCCCAAAGGCAAATATAGCTGTAAAATGTGTGCGACACAGTACAAAGTATTTTGCTGCGGATATTTTGTAGCATTACATTTTTTTGGTTATTAAAATATATTTGTTTTTATACCCTAAACTTATTGACGGGTAAAAAGGGTATAACGCTTTAGTGCATATGTATGTAGCAGGCATAAAAAGCATCTTCCCGACCCCGTAATGTCTATATATTCTTGATCAAAAGCCGAGTCGATCCAGCCATTCCCGTCTGCCCGTCTGTCCCTCTCCCTCTCTCTCCGTATGTACGAACGCATTGATTTCAGAACCTATAAGAGCTAGAGACTTGATATTTAGAACGTAGATCTTCCTAGTGCCCGCACAGTACTTTTCGTTAATCGATAACTTTCCTCGATTCCAAACAATCGATAAAAATCGATATCAAAATCCTGTTCTTTGAGCAAATCTTCTAGAGTTAAAGAGCTACAGCCACCAAATTTGCCATATAGCTCCTAGAATATTATTTAAAGAAAGTATCTTTCATTTTATAGTTTTATTTTATTAGTGATAAGGTATCGCGCGGGTAGCGTATGCTGCATTGTTGGTAGAAGAAAGTTCAGGGTATCCTCAAGTCCAGTCTAGCTCAATGAAATTGGCACAGGGTGGCGTCTAGTCGTGCACTTCCCCTCGGTTCAATTAATTCTCTGTTTGCCTTGTTTCGCTTTGTGCACATAGTTAAATTTAGTTTGAAAAATCATAGCACAAATCGATAAAATTAAAAGCCACTTTAGAACTGAGTTTCATTATTTTACTTTTTCTATGTTTTAATTGTGTGGCTTTGTTTGTATTCTATTTTATTTATTTTTTATGTGATGACAAGTTGAAAACTTGCCAGGGCCGTAAATCAATTTGGTGAGCGTAGACAACTTCACAGCGGTTTGTAATAAAAAATAACAAAGTCGCACTAATTGAAAGCATTCGCCTGGCGAAATTTCATTGCAATCAAATTGCGAATTGCAAATTGTACAGAAAGGCAAGTTAGAGTGTTTGAGTTGGCATTGCCCGACTAGCAGATACCCTGAATGAATACAAACGAATACAGATACACACACTTGGGCAGGCAAGGGCGTCGCACGCCCTTGTTTTGTCCTCTGTTGCTTTTTGTCCGATCTTCATGAAGCTTTTGGTCATCCGAATATACTTGAATACAAAAGCCCATGACGTTATATCCAAAACTTTCACAAACCAAAATTGCTGTCTTTAGCTCTTGTAAGCTGCGAGGTATGGTCAAAAATCTATTTCTATCGAAACCATGATAACAGACAATAGACTTATTGATAACTTGGCTAGCTCGACTTGGTTATTCATGTTGATCAAGAATTTATATATTTCTGCTGCCTGTGAAACACATTTTCCCAAAACCAATCTACCCTTTACAGGCATTTTTAATGGGTGCAATAATTTTTAATAAATGAGGCGAGCATTTAAAATTGTAATGCTAATAGTTTGTGTTTATTTGTATACGCTCTCGTTCCTTCTCTTTCTCTCTTGCTTTAAAACTTAAAAAATACTGTAAATAGGCCTCTCTCCTTCTCTCTCTCGCTCTCGCTCTTTCTTTCTCTCTCTCTCTCTCTATGTCGCTCTTTCGCTAAGAGACTCTCGTGTAATTAAAGTAGCTTCTGTTTGTTTGGCTTAAGCCATTTTAACTGCGGGCTGCGCCTCTGCGGTGCTGTTGAGCTGCGTGAAATGCGGCCAGGTGGAAATCTCCTGATACAGTCTGCCACCTGGACATTCGGTATCGCGCACCTGTCTGTGCCCGAGCAGCTTGTAGGCCGGATCAATATAGCCCTGGGCCACGCCGAATGCAATCAAATCCTGTGCTGAATGCAGCATGCGTGCGGGCGGAAGTTCAGCTTTTGGTTTGATAAGGAAATGAATTTATTAGTTAACATTCTGTTTGGTTAAACCAAATGTGACTCACTTCGCCAATCGCCGATGAGCACAATGCCCACGCTCTTGTCATTATATTTGGGCGCATGGGCGCCAACCACATTGAAGCCACGTCCCGTATAGATCAGCCCGTCGCCGCCAATGCCAAAGCTATAGCCAATGTCATTCCAGCCGCGATCCACCTGATGGAAGTCCTGCATTTCGCGCATGCTGCGCATGCAATCCGGCGTGCTCTCGCATACGGCTGGTATATACGAATGATGAATGATCACAAAAGGTGCGGGTCCATTAAAATAATCCACCTGTTTGGGCATGCGCGCACCCCAATCGGCGCGCGACAACAGCTGCGAGATGCCGCCACCGCCACCCGGACCAGCTCCTCCCTCCGTCGTAACCGGCTGCATGTGCTGGCTGTAACCTGTGTGTTATAGAGCAGAGATTGGCCATCAGTTTATTGACTTGTTTAAGTTGGATTTCAGTTGCAGTTACACGATGTTTTCTTTATTTACAATTTTCGTACTCTGTCGAGGTGTCTGTGTATGTGCGGTTGTGTATCGGCGCGTGTGTGTGTGCGTGTATGTTTGGCAAAACTTTTGTCAGCATTAATTGCAACAGTTTGTTTAACTTAAACTTTATCAAGTCTCACGTTCAGCTTCCGTGTGCCGCGTTGCCATTGATAAATTATATTGGAAACGTATTCCCCTGGCTGCTGGTGTTGTCTGTTTGTCTGTCTCTCTGTCTGTATATGTGTGTGTGTGTTGCCTCAACGAAGTGAGAAATCGCAATGAAACGCCAACGCCAAATGGTAGCCGGAATGTCTCTGAAAAATTCCCCGCATACCACCTAACTAGGCACAACAACAAGAGCCCCGACAGACAGAAAGAGAGAGAGAGACAGAGAGAGACAGAGAGAGGGAGAGACAGAGAGAGTGAGAGCGACTTAAACTGCCTGCTTAAAGTGCCCAAACAAGTCGTTGCCCCAAGCTGATTCGTATTGATATATAATCAGTTTTAGATAGTATATAGATTTTATAAATATATCTCTTGCCCACTCTCGCCTCTCTACCCCTATATTTCTTTCTCTTTGCGGTGCTTTCGCCAAACGTGTCAATTAATGAACCGGCCTCAGTCCATATAAAATATGCATAAAGTTTGCTCGCCAATTTGTTGTTTACTGATAGGTTTAATACACTACAAAATGCGAGGAGTCTGACGATTTTGTACAAGCTTCCGTTTAGGGGGTCGCAGTTCATTAAAGTATATATTCTAATAATATTATATTATATGAAATCAAAAATTTCGGAGAAAGTGTGAAATGATCAATACTTATCTGAGAGAAATAACCATATGTGCGCTTAGCAAAAGCTACATTAGGTATATACCAATCTATGAACCCTCAGATCAAATGTTACAACCATGAAAATGTTTTTTTTTTTTTTTACTTTTTGTATAACCTTGTGGTTAACAACATTTAAGCCACATCCGGTTCAGATATAAAAAATCCCTTTATTTATGTCATCAATAGCTTAATAAGCAATCGCACAATTTTCTATTTACTCAGCTGAATTTTATTCTTTTAAAAATTAAAATATTTTCTTGAAACATTTCAAGCCAAAAATGTGGTGTGTCTAGTAGAGCTTTAATTGATACGATTGTACTAATTGAACAACAGTTGTGTTTAAAGTACTACAATCGAATCATTTTTATCAACTACCGATAGACCTGAGTCATCAAATAATTGTTGGCTGAATTTTTATACCCTAAACCCCTCAAAAAAGGGGTTTAAGGGTATATTGTATTTGTGCAAAATCCAAATGTATGTAACAGGCAGAAGGAAGCATCTCCGACCCCATAAAGTATATATATTCTTGATCAGCATCAATAGCCGAGTCGATCTAGACATGTCCGTCTGTCTGTCCGTCCGACCGTCCGTATGTATGAACGCAAGGATCTCAGAACCTATAAGAGCTAGAGACTGAAATTTTAGATGTTTAGATGCTCCTAGTTCCCGATAATCGATAACTTACTCCGTTTCCAAGCAATCGATAAAAAATCGATATCCTGTTTTTTGGGAAATTTTGGTAAATAATAAGAGCTAGAGTCACCAAACTTGGCATAAGCTTCTAAAATAGAATATATATGCATTTGATGTTGGAAGACGAGGGTTCAGGGTATCCCCTAGTCGGGAGCTTCCGACTAGAACCTCTTGTTATATATAAATTAAGATTTTAAATAATTTGTCTTCGCGGATTATCTTGATTGAACTTTATTTGAATAATTATTTGTAAAACACTAGGCCGACACGCCGTAGTGAGTGACTTAAATTATACACGAAGTCGCTGGGGCGATGTGCCGCAGTGAAAGTCGAATTAAAAACTAAATTTACAAAAGATTTATCAAAAATACCTAAGCTATTGTGTGCTTTCACAACGGCTGCTAGAATGCTTAGCTTGCGCCTCGTGCGCCGCCGTCGTGCAAGAACATCCGGCCCAGAGCTATGTCAGCATCTGCGGCTGGTGTTATGTTGCATTTTGCTGACCCCTGTTAGCTCGTAAGAACATCCGGCTCAGTGCTATATCAGCATCTGGAGCTGGTGTCGTTGGCCTCTGTTAACTTATACTTATGTTGAAGTCGTCAGCCAGAAATGAATTTAGCTACTTTTTGTCGCATCTCATATCAAGCACGTGAGAGCCTGCTTAATTGTTAGGTCAACTATTTTTAGCGTCATTTATCAACTCTGCTTCATATACGATTTTATATTAATTTAGCAAAAGTCTTGCTTACTTAAAACGCTTTATTAAAAAATACAAAAATTAAATTATTCAAAGCTATTTTCAATTCTGAAATGCAAACTAGAATACAAACTTAATCAAAATTGTTAGCGTATGTCAGCTGTCTGTGTTCTGCGCTGTTCTCGTATAATCCACAAATAATGATGAGTCAGCTTTAAAGTTTAACAAATGATTTTCAAATATTATGCGAATGCGATGTCAACAGGTGGTATCATCTATCAGTTGGACCCACGGAGACAGCTGTAGGCCAAAACGCGGCCTTCGAAGTTAACTTTCTGGTTCCCGGTCGCCCGCAGCTCATAAATGCAAATAAATCTGACAGCAAACTATTTTCATTCAAAATTCGTTAAATGTATGCGCGGGTGGTGACTGTGATTGAGTGTGTGTGTGATTGAGGGTGTTTGTGTGTGTGAAGGTGTTTGTGTGTGTTTGCGACCAGAAAGAGAGTGAAACTTTTGCAGCATCCATTTGGCATGTTTGCCAAGGCGTCGACAACTACCACGCCTCTTCCTAGCACATTTATATGCATACGTAAACTTGGCAACAGAGCAATTTTGAGGCTGCAGAAGTTTAGCTGCTGGGAGGATCTGTGGCTACACTTGACTAAATCAATAGCAGAAGCTTCTAATTACAAAATTTTAGGGCCAACATTTTTGCTAACGCCTGCTCACAATTAAGAATCAGATATATATAGAGAGAATGTATATGGAACGAGGTTTTTTAATTAAAATTTCGGGACATTTTAAGTCCAAAGCTAAAAGTTCTTGAGTACAATTTAGTACAATTTAATTGTAGTTGCATATAACTTTGGTTTTTCTTAACCGATCTTTATGAAATTTTCTACAGTATATCTTATAGTACCATAGAATATGTGTGTATTCTGAAAAAGTCAATTGCATTTAAATTGTGGTTTAAATTGGTTGGCAATAAAAGTTGGGTTATTAACTTGATTTATAGCTCTGGGATGGTAGCGGGGAGGTGGCGATAGGTATGAAATGAAAGATACTTGAAATATATATAATATTCTAGAAGCAACATATCATGTTTGGTGGCTCTAGCTCTTATTATTTACCCAATTTGCTAAAAAAAACAGGATGTCGAAATCGATTCTTATCAAACTCGATCTGCGCGGGAACTAGGAGCACCTACATCTAAAATTTCAAGTCTCTAGCTCCTATAGGTTCTGAGATCCTTGCGTTCATACATACGGACGGACGGACGGACGGACAGACAGACGGACATGGCTAGATCGACTCGGCTATTGATACTGATCAAGAATATATTTACTTTATGCTTACTGCTGCCTGTAACATACATTTGGATTTTGCACAAATACAATATACCCTTATACCCATTTTTAATAGGTTCAGGGTATAAAAATGTTTGATTTAAGTAAAAAGTAATATCTGTACTTAAATCAAGAAAAGTGAAAGCTATCTTGAATTTTTAGCTCCAAGGCGTTAATACCATAGTTTCTTAATTTCAAAGTAAAAATGCGGGAAACTTAAATATTGTTGGTCTAAAATAAAGCGTATTTTGTTGTTACAAAATATTTTAAAGCGTTTAAGGTTTGATATTTTACTATGCCGTTTTTATAAAAATATAGAAAAAATTAATTCAAGTTGTGGCGTGCTTTTAAAATTCATATTTTATATACGAATTTCATGCTTAACAATTATTTCCTATATACTTGAATGAAGTGCTTAGTTCTTGATCCAAGTTTTTGCGTACTTAAAAAGACGTATTTGAAATACGATTTTTATGCTTGACTTAAGAATTGCTGATATTGCCGCACTTGCTGCAAGTGTGGTCGGAACTTGAATTAGGAATGGAACGAAAACGAATCTCAAACTAGAGCTGACGATAGAACTGGAGTGGGAGCTGGCGCTGGAACTGTAACTAAAGTTGCGTCTTTTGGCTTGAATACTAAACAGAGTGTGCAAAGGGGGCGTGTTTGGGGGCTGGCTGTCAAATCATTTGCTGTTTAATTTATGCCTTTGGCTTTTTCAGTAGTGTTACCCGTTAATTGCGTTTATACACTCTATCTCTCTCTCTTTCTCATATATTTACCGTTAAGCCCGGTCTGGCACGTAACACTCGTGCCAACAGCCGACCCCTCGATATAAACCCCTTTTAGTACACGCTTCTCTAATCGTTGGCCCTAATTACACGCGGGGCTAATAAAGTAAACATTAAACTCGTTGTGCTAATCAATGTTGTAAGCTATAAACAAAATAAACTCACACACACACACACACACATACACATAAATAACTCCACCCTCGAATGTTAAATAATTAGTTTGAGATGGGCCCAGGCTCATGTTTTATTAGGAAATTGCCTCAAAAAAGTAATTTTCCTCAAATTGCATGAAATTGACTTGCCCCGTGGCACACGCTGAGAGCGAAGTGATGGAAAGTGGGGCTTGTCGGTACAAGAACACAAATATCCGCATACCTGAAAACATATAAGTTAAGCCCGCATACCGCACGCATTAAACAAATATTTTGGTTTTGAACGGAGTATAATATAGTATGATATATGAAATATTCGAGATTAAGTCACGCTCCGTTTAAATAAAAAATTAAATAAAAAAAGTACCTGTGAAAAACGCCACAAAAAAGAGGAAAAAAACAATAAACAGTAGCAGTTGCTGCGACCAAAATACTCTAAAAAGTTTGAATTTTATGTCTAATTCAAGGTTTAATTTACTTCTTGCCAATTAATGAGTCAGAAAATGTATTCAGGTGTCTACTTATGAAGCTTATCTATCAGCTTCTCCCTTTAAAATGAACCAAATAAAAGAGATTATAGAAATCACAAACTCTACTTTTTCGGCTTTATTTAAAAATAATCATGCCGTTTTAGGCAGAATTCTTGATTTTCGAGATCTCTATTTAATATACATACATTATTTTAAAGAAACATATAAAATAAATATAGACTAAAAATGTTTCTGTTGCAAAGACTAGTCAGACGGAGGAATATATTCAACCGTTTTTCTGTTTTTATCTTTCCGACAATTCCCAATTTTTACTAAAAAACTACAAACTGCCCAATATACATTTTTGTTTTTAAGTGGAAATATGTTAGAATATTGTGCTTTACACAACAAAAAAAAAAGAAGGAAATCTGTATAACATTCTATAAAATGTCATGAAATGATTGGGTTCTACGCGACTTAAACAATTTCCAAGATCATTTTATATTAAAACAAGTTTATTTTATTTTCCTGCTGACTTCGAGCGTTGCAAATGAATACATTAAGCTGCTATACCCTTAACGTAAGTGTATAAAAAAACAATCAATTATAATGTGCATATTATGAAAAGTCCCTCATCCGACTGTCAATGATTGTGTGCGTGTGTGTGTGGGAGAGTGTGTGTGCGAGAGTGTGTGTGCGTTTGGCGTTTAAATGACATTTTTGTTAAATGAAAATAATTTAATTTGCGCACAATCTGAAACATAAATTTGTAAATAGTATGGGTATTACGAGCAGCAGTACGAGTATACAAATTACTGCCTGTACAAGATGCATATCTCTTGCTCTCTCTCCCTCTCTTTCGCTCTCGCTCTCTGCCAGCAAACAGGGTGAGCTAGCAACAAATTTCAGTGGCATTGAACAGGCGTGCAGAAACTGGCGATAAGCAGCATTTGCTGTTGTGCGTGTGTGTGTGTCTCAGGGGCAGCCTAGCGATAAGGCGGCAACAACACTTACCCATCATAGATAGCAAAAGTAATCCAAGTGCTGTCATGTTTGCAGGTGTTGCGTGTTTCTGCGGCTCTGCTTGGTTAGGAACTTTTTTGCTTTGTGCTTTTTCTATATTTATTTGTTTTTATATCTTAGGAACTCTTTTTTTTTGTATTGTATTAAGAATGTAATTTAATTTGTGCTATTGGCAAGAATTGTGCAAGTTTTTGAAATCAGAAAATTTTCACATGCTTTATTTTTGGGCTTATTTTTGCGTTATGTTTCGCATTCGCGCGTCTCTGAAGAGCGAATGACTAGGCTGCATAAGGGCGCACCAATGTTTATAGACGTCTCCCAAATTTTTTTGTACTATTTTTATTTAGATTTGTTGTTGTTTTTTTTTTTCTATTTATTTTTTGTTTTTTGCTTGTTTACTTCTTTTTTTCGCACCAGCGCTGTCGACGTCAGCGTCGCTGTTGTTGCCTGCGCGCAATGCCAAACAATTTTTAAATCGCATGAAATTTATTACCAAGCGCCAGCTGCGACGTCGACGTCAACACTGGCGTCGCCGTCGGCGTTGCCGTTGCGCAGTCGAAGCAGCTGCTGAGCCGTTCATTCGATTTGCTCTTTGCCGCTCCGTTGCGCTCGCTCCCGCTCAGCTGGAATCGTGTTTTCTTTCTTTTGCGATCGGTTAGCTCTCAATTGTTACTGATAATGTTATCAGCTCTGTGGGGGATTTGTTACGCCCCCTCGCCTGGTCTAATTGGTGAGCTGTATGCATACCGTTAGGGCTTAAAGGTTCAAATTCCTGTGTGATTTACATAGGAATTTGTACGAATTTTGTCGACCTCTTGTTTTGTGCGTTGAACTTAATTTTCTGTTTTATTTTGTTGCTTTTTATATGGTCTGATGGACGGTACTTTTTATTTGCACTCGGGTTACGGGTACTTTTTTTATTCGGCGCCCTTTGCGATGGCATATATATTGTGACTTGGCATAAATATCATATGAAAGCTGAACTTTGCTGCGTTTTCCAATCGGCCGATGATTACAGGTGATTCATGCATGCCCATGGCACTACCTTTTGGCTGATACCTAATAATTTTTTTTTATATCGATAGCTTAATCACTTTTTATTTAATGCCATATCATCGTGCTATAGGCCATCTTCACTTGGGTTTTGATTAGATATAATCTGTTTGGTCTTATCTTTATACCGCCAACCGTAAATTTTGTGCAAATTTTGAAACTCTTTTTTTTTGTTTTTGTTTTTCATGTTTTTATGATTATGTGCCAGCTGTTTATCTAGAGTGAAAGTCATATAATGTGCTCATAAGGTCGCAAAATTTTTTTTTGTTTCAAATAATATTTATTAAAATTTTAGACAAATATATGCGCATATCTTAATTATTCGTAATGATTGGCTGGCAACTCGCACAACAGTCAGCTTTTGTCCGCATTAACTATTATGATATTTGTTTTATTTTTTATTATGTAATAACTCAGTAGCTATATATACCTTGATATGTTAGCTGGTATTTACATTTACATAAGTTCTTATACGGTGCTATGTAATGGGTGGTGGTTCCCCTGGTTTTTACCCAAGATATCAGATGCGCGAACTTTATGAACTGCATTTCTGAATGACCTGTCACTGTCTTGCACTAAGCTATATCTCTTCCGTTGTCGTGCCCCGCACTTGCCCAGCCTACACGATTCTTTCGCTTGAAAAGATTGTATTTTTTTTTTTCGAACCATCCGGAGTTTTCTGGGGATGCCCCTCGTTGAGTTTGAGGGGAAGCCCTGGACAAATGTATTTACTAAATTGCTTTAGCTTTGATAGATAAATTAGCAACATTTTATTCTACTGTTTGATTGTCAAATCTTAAAATGTTGCGAGGTATTTTAATATTCTAATGGAGCTTGTAACGTTTAAGGAATTTGGAATATTTGTATATCTAAATATGTTTTTATCTAAACATGACGCATGTCCCCCCCACCCCAGTTAACACCGGGTACTGCTTTATATGTCAAAATATAAGAAATTAACATAATTTTTAAACGATGACCGCAAAAGTGGCACAAATATTAAAAAATGACAAAGTATTTTGGCAATATGGGAACTGAAACGAAGTTGCGGAGCGCTCTGCCTAAAAATAAAACTTGTTATACAAGCTAAGCGGGTCAGCTGGGTTTTCCACAAATGACAAATTAATGGATTGCCGTTGGGGTATTTAATCATATAAGAAGCAGCTGCCTGATAAACAGTTTATATTTATAATCAATACAAAGTTTTGTTCCATTATTGCTTACTTAGTGTATTTAGACTTCGCTATGCTTTTCAGATAAATTTTCCTTTCTTGTTTTTCATTGGCCCCATCTCTCATTCACACAAACACACACACACATCTATATATTTTCTAGCCATACTGGGGGATTACCGCAGCCTCCAGATGGCCATCATCAAAAGGAAATTCAAGTCATTTGCTAGCCAACATTTTGGCTGTGTGTTTATGTGGCAAGGTAAACACGCAAGCGAGAAACAAACCCCCATTCCCCTCTCCCACCTCCGCAACACAAATTTTTCGTAGAGCTCACTATAGACACATGGAATAGTTCAAATAGTTGAATTGCTGGCACGGCACTTACCACAAATTATACTCGATTCTTGTTCTTGCCGTGTGGTTGCGTCTATGTCAGCCACTTTTGGCATAGCCGCCACCGCTAAGGTCCCCCAAGCGGAGCACGACGCCGACCCAAATCCAGACCGCTCGTCGCCCATTTCGTGCCAATGTCGTTAACAACCAAAACAGCTCTGAAATCCGCTAACAACAATGTGAAGCGTGTCCGGGAAACCAAAAAACTCGATGTCTCGATGTCTCGATGCCAATGCCGAAGCCGAAGCCGTTTAGTGCTCTGATTAATTCTAGTGCGTTTCTAAGTACACTGCAATCGAGTTAGGGTATGCGACATTGTCTATAAAGTAGGTCTTGGCTAGAAAAAAAAATGTTGATCTCAGATTGCTCACATCTATTACAGCATATATATAATTTTTATATATATAATTTTTTTTCCTGGCATGGCTTTCTTAACTCGCATGGCTTTCTTAACTTTCTTTTTTATAGTTTTCTTGATTCTATACGCCAAACGTTCACTATAGAATAAAAAAAATATATAAATTTGTATATAACCTTATTAATTTCTACACAAATTATGTTCAATTTCAGCATGCCCTAAGTATTATAATATTTTTTGTCGATTAGTGGGTTACAAAATTTATATAAGAACATCATATACCTAGATATATTCAAGCCCTTCCCATATACACAAAATCAAAATTTTAACACTCCAAAATTTTTTATAACTAAAAAAGAGTAGTGTTGAAATGGCCTTTTTAGAGACCAACTTTAATATGGTACAGATTAGGTATATTATAGAAATAATTTTTTATATATAGAATATATTTTATAATATATAAGAGAGTATATATTATATAATATATTTTATTGTGTTATATATAATTATATTGAATTATAAGTTGGGAAGGGTTGGGCTGGGCATATATTTTTAATATTTTTATATTTTTAAGCTTAGATTATTTACTTAGTTCTTTTGGATTAATTATATTCCATAAATTTCCCTGGTTAAGGCATTTCATCGACGTCTATTTTCAGTCCAATTTTTGCTCACTTCGATTGGCTTTGTTTTTTTCTTTTTAATTTACCATTGGAGTGTCCGCTAATCGTACATCTTATCAGGGTATTAAGTGCGATGTTCACTAACTGCGGTTTGGCACGCTCTTTACTTATTTTTCTCCCATTCTATTTTCTTTGCACGCCCGAGGCTTTGAGCTGTAGAAATCACATTGTTTTTAGGGTATTCACCACAAGGTGAAACATTATCTGTGCAGCTGTTAGATAATGACGAGCGTCTATTACAATTAGCAAAAGTAATTGTGAATTATTTGTTCAAGCAACGATATACACCAGCCTTCGCTTCCGCTCCCAAAACACACACTTATATTAGCAAGCTCGCCTGCCTTGATATGAGCCAAGTCCACTGCCCAAAAGACTTTACTTAATTAATGCACAATGGTGTTAACTCGCTTGACCTTTTTTATATAGTATAGTAGATATCTATAGGTATTTGGGTACTTCCTTGTTGTTTTCTTCTACTCTGTTTTCTCAGAATATATATTATCCATAGAAAGTAGAACTTTTTGAATTTTAGAAAAATCATTTAAAAACAAAAATGTTTTTGAACTATAGAAAAAATAATAAAACAAGAAAACTTTCGGAATATTTGAAAGACAATCAATTTTTTTTTATTGAAGACAAAAATCTTTAATACCAAAAAAATTATTATAATTAAAAAAAATATATATATAGGCACAAACGTTTTTATCAATTCGTAAGAATATAATTTTTTGAGTGTATATTTCAACACTGTGGCAAAATCTTTATAAAATTGTAATACTTTATTGTGTGGCTTTAATGGGAAAAATTTTCAAATATTTAGTTTTTGAATAGAAGGAAACAATTAACTATTTAAACGTTTAACTAAATCCAGGAATATTTCGTAAATGTTTGTTTATAATAACAATATTTCAAAAACTTATAATAGCTATATAAAGCAGATATTTAATTCCATAATTTCTTCCGACTAATTTCTTAAAACTTTTCCAAACTTTTATGCAAATGCATTATAATGAAGTGCTTTAATTCGTAACTCAAGACATCAGCAAAATGTTTCTAAGCTCTTATATCAGACTAGCACTGTATAGAGCTCATGCTACATTTAAATGTCCATTTATATACATGTATATTTATATGTGAATCTCGCAAAGTTTTGGCATGAAGCAACTCATCAGTTGGCGCTTATATCATTGCCTGTTCTGTTCGGATTAGTTACGCTTGCTGGTTGCCATTTGGGTTAAAAATTATATGCCAGGAGGAGGGTTCCGCTAGGGATGGGGAGGGAGGGGGGGGGGTGAGAGGAGTGGGGTGTGATGTTGCGGGCAGGATATTTTAGATCTCTTAACTGATGCCAGAGCTGGCTACGAAACACGCACATGCCATATATTAGGCATACATAAAATGACAAACGATTTGCGTTGCGCGTAAATTGAAAAGCGCTGAGCCTGTGAGATTGCTGCAGCCACGAGAAAGGCCAGACCAGGAGAAAGCGGGCTGGGCAGAAGCAGCAGTGAAAGCACGGCATGGCTTGGCTTGGCTGACTGGCTGGCGACAGCAGCGACTTTTGCTTGTTTGTGTTTCCTGTTTTTGTTGTGTGTGTGTGTCTGACACCCCCCTACTACACCGCCCTCCCCCTCGCGATATGCCCGGGCTGAATGCCAAAACTTTGGCAAAGTATTCAAATTAAAATTTCAATTAAGGAAGTGAATTTGGTGTGCCGAAAGTGTATTAAGTCTATTTGGGCGTCATCTTGGCATTTGAGCTGTGGGCTCAACTGTCGCCCGCTCGATTGAAATGTGGGCGGGCACACGCATGCCACGCCCAACAGCCCCACCTTGTTCGCACCGTTGCTTGATTTATTGCCCAAGTTTTCTCAGTCACATGACATACAAAGTACTTTGTGAAATACATTGTGCATTTTTGTATAAACCAAACAGTATATATTTTTTTTGTGACTGGTCGCTTTTTCCAGCCCGCTGTTGTGGGCATTATTAATAATGTAATCAATTTGTAAACAATTTGGCATATATCAATGCGCTTCGTGCTGCCCATAAATCTCGCCCAAAATTAGCAAAGCCGCCGTCCACGCAACGCCAACGCCAATTTGCATCCCGGCATGTGGCTAGAATATGGGGGGTTGTTGTCTGTCGGTGGTCTGAGAGACGGAGGGCTGGAGAGCTCTGGTGTGCTGGATAACTTTTCAGCAGAACCCAAAACGAGAGAGCACGCAGCTACGCACAGCGTTGAGGCCTCTTGACATATTGCAACGGGGCCACGTTGATGGATGGACGCTTGGGATGGACAGTTGCCTGTATCTGAAACTCGTTGGCATCCAGCCTCCTGCTGCTGCTGGCGAAGTTGGGGTTGGGGTTTGGGGTGGGGTGACATTTGGCAAGCAACAGCTTTTGCGAATTTGGGTAGTTGGCTGGTTGGCTACGTTTCTTTTGCTTTTGCATTCCTGTCTGGCTGCTCGCTTGGCAGTTAGTGACAGCTGCTGCCAGGCAGAAACCACCAAAACAAAAAAAAAAAAAAAAATGAAACAAAATAAAACCAAAAACCAAAGAAGCGCACAGCCCGTCACAGCGTAAAGAGCGGTATATCTAATCTCAAACAAGCCTGAAATTCGGTGTCTCGTTGCCATAGTAAACTAAGATTGAGACATTCGTCTGCTCTGCTGATAAAGTCCCAGTCGGTAGCTTTGTTGTCTGAAACTAATAACTTCCTGACACTTACTTAATTTGACACTTGCAAGAATTTAGTAGTTTTTGCTAAATATGTTAGTATATGCAATGGAAGAAATTATATCCATAAAGAAAATGCAATTCTGAATGCTTTAAAATTTTTTAATTTGAACAAATTTCAGACACTTTGCAAAATGGTGGAAATGAATATCTCAGGATATTTTGGAGCTATGTAGCTCAAGTATAAGATTTTCGACTATGCTTAAATATATTTTTGAACCACTTTCCAAGTCTTATAAGCACACAGTGGTATTAAAGTGGCTTTAAAGTGGCTTAACAGTCATTTCAGTCCATATCTAAGGATCTTCCTGAGATGTTTGGCTCCCATTCATTATATAAGCTTTTCGACTATATTTAAATTTTTTTCCGAACCATTTGAAGTCCAATTCCAAGCTTGCAATCCATATCTCAAGAGCAACTTAAGCTAATCTGCTGAAAAAAATATTCAAAAATTCAAAGTACCTTCAACATCTCAGAATATTTTTGGGTTTTAATTATAACACTCAGTATGTGTGAAGCTTAATACGATATATTCACATTATTTTATCAAGCTTGTTGGGCTACTGTGTGGCATATTTTTCGGTCAATTGGAAATTGAAAAAACAGTTTTTTCTTCCCACTTGTTGAATTCTTTAAAGCATTTTGATTCAATTGTTTGAAATGTATAATCGTAGCAAACTCAAACATTATTTTCCTCTCGACTAGGCGACTTTTATAGCCTCAATAAGTTGGAAAAAATAAAAATAAATAAAAGGCAACAATCGTGTGTGTGCTCTTTGGCGAATTCTCATGCGGCGCATTCAAACGGCAAATTGAAGTTTGCTCTTTTTTTTTGTATTCCACTCAACTCATCTGGCTGGGCTTTCATCATGTTCTGCTACTGTTGGCAGACAGGCACGACTGCACACGGCTGTGTCTAGAAGTTTATGAACTTGTCATTCAGCTTTTCACAATTTTTACACTCTCCCGTCTTTTACTTTGCTTGCAGGACATGTCGGGTGGACGCTTGAATCATCAGCATGCCGCGTATGCCTGGCGGCGGGAGCAGGAGCACAATCGAGTGCAGGCGACGGAGCAGGTGAATCGTTATTACGACCATTGGGGTCAGGTAACGTCACGCTTTGAGAACTGGACCAATCAGGCGTATTACGACAAGGCCGACAAGAAGCTGCAGCAGCGCAAGAGTCAGCAGCAAAAGGAGCAGGAGTTGGACGATCGTCGGGCAAAGCTGCGTGAGCTGCTGGATGGAGATAATTATATCTACGATCTGGAGCTGGGACGCAAGCGTCGGCCGCGTGAGGCCGCTGGTCACGATCTGAAAACCCTGCAGCGTATCAATCAATCGCTCAAGGAACAGGATCAGCTCAAGCGTAAGCTGGAAATGGAGGCCAAGCTATACGGCCGTTGGCGTCACGGCGTGGACGATGAGAAGTTGCTGTACAAGTCGAAGTCGGACAACGAGGTGCTGGCCAAGCTCAACTGGCTAGACAAGCAGATAGAGCAGCAGCAGAAGCGTGAACAGCGCGAGGCGCTGGCCGCCGAACGGCAGCTGTTGCTCCAGCAAGAGATCAGTCGTACCGAGCAGGCGCAGAAAGAGCGTCAGCTGATACGCGAGCAGGAGATCAAGGATATTTGCGCGCTGCAGGAGTCACATGTGACGGAGCTCAAGCTGCGCCAGGAGCAGGCGGACAAACTAAAGCAGGAAGAGCAACATTTCCGTCTCTTTCTCACCGAACTGGAAAAAGAGAAACAACTGCTGGAGGAATCGACGGCTCTTATGCTGCAGCAGCCGGATGTCAGTCAGGCCTACAATCTGAAGAAGATCAAGATCTTCATACGCAATCGCAGCGAGGCCTATCGCAAGCAGATCTCCCTATGCATTAATCTGCTCGAGCGCATGGCCAAGTATGCGGTCAAGACGGAGCAGCTGCAGCAGCTGCTCGACAAGTGCAAGGAGCAGCTGGATGCCGAAACTTTAGCTGCCAGTCAAATTGACGCCATGTACGAATCGGACGCCAAATACAGTCTGCAGCAATGCGAGGACGATTGGCGTGAACAGCATTTGAAGCGCTTTGGCGACATCAACTTGCTGATCGAACAGGAGCAGCAGCTGCTCAGCGCCATGCTGCGCGAGAATCTGAACGAGCAGGAATCTATTGTGGAACTGCGCGCTACACATCTGGCGGGCATTGAACAGACCACCAAACAGTTGGAGCAACTTAACAAGGAGCAGGAACTGTCCTCGCCGCGTGCGCTATGCGCCATCGAAGCTCAACCATGTGATTATCCAGAGCAGCCGCAGGCCACGCTCAGTAGTCAGGCTGAACTGAACGAAACCAATGAGCTGTTGCCCAAGGTTAGCGATTCGTTCACCAATCTCAATTTGGATGTCTGGCAGGATATGCCGCCGGTTCGTGGCGGCATCGATTCGCCACGCCTCAATAATACACGCTCCATGAGTGTTGTCGATCCACAGACGGCTGTGCCGCCAAAATTTGCACGCAAACGTGTTGTCTGGACCTAAGGTTCGAACTTCAAACCCACTAAAATTTTAAATGTATTATTAACCTAGATTATCAATGTTTTAACTATAATTGATTTATATTACAATTGTTTGTGTGTGTGTGTGCGTGTGTGTGTGTGTGTGTGTGTGTGTGTGCGCGGATATGTGTGTGTTGTTGTCTATCTGTGTATGTGTGCTTTATGTAAACTGCGTCTAAAATACGCTCGCTCTCTACATGTATTCGTAACCGACTGATAATACTAAAAGATAAACTAACAATAAACTGTATTTGTGGGCCAAAAGGAAATGGGTTGTTCAATTTAAGTGTAAGTGTAGTTACGGCATCCCAAATTAAAACGCTTAAGATAATTTATGCTTTATTTATGATACTATTTAAGGTTTAATTTTTACTAATCTAAATATTCAAATTTCGTAAAATGTTGTCAATTTTCCATTAACTTTGAACTTTGAACTTTAAACCTATTTATTATATAGCTATGCTCTCTTCAACTTTCCTTTTTAATTTCCTCTTGACATATTTTGCGTTACATTTTTAAATTTAATATTTCAGCGAATTTCTTAAAACCATTTTATTTGGTATATTGGTTGTCTCTGTTCAACTTTCCTCTTAAATTTCTCTTCGAAATTTCCCATGATTTGAATCGATTTTGAAATTTTAGATTTCAGCGAAGTTCATACAACCAATTTATTTATTATATTGCCATGCTCTCTGTTTAACTTTTCTTTTAAATCTCCCTTCAACATTTCCCATGAATATCCCATACAGTTTTTTTCCTTAAAATTTTAGCCTAGTTCTTTAAAGCCATTTATTCAATATATTGTATTGTATCATATAATGTATTTCTGTTCAAATTTCCTCTCAAAAAATATCATTTTTTTTTGCAACTGTAGTTTAAAAAAACAAGTGAGAGGTTCTAGTCGGGAGCTCCCGACTAGGGGATACCCTGAACCCTCTTATTCCAACACCAAATAAATTAATAAAAAAAGTTCCCTTGGCAGGGCTCGAATTTGCAACTCACCGCATTACTTACTGTCGACTCTACTCAACAGCCACACCAGCAAAAACAAAAATAATAATACTTTCCCCGGTAGGGCTCGAACTCGCGACAGACCGCACCACTTGCTATGCCTCTACTCAACAGCCACACCAACAATTAAGTACTTATGATAAAAAAAGGAACTAAAATAACATTACAAAAAAAAAGATGCAATCACCATGCTATTAGAATGCGAAGCAGACGCGCATGAATGTGTGTGTGTACATGTATACAGAAATTCTTAAAGCTGCTGCCCCATTCAATTGCGCAGTTGCATATAACTTTGGTTTTTCTTATGAAATTTTCTACAGTATATCTTATAGTACCATAGAATATGTGTGTATTCTGAAAAAGTCAATTGCATTTAAATTGTGGTTTAAATTGGTTGGCAATAAAAGTTAGGTTATTAACTTTGATTTATAGCTCTGCGGTGGTAGCGGGGATGTGGATATAGGTATGAAATGAAAGATACTTGAAATATCTATAATATTCTAGAAGCAACATATCATGTTTGGTGGCTCTAGCTCTTATTATTTACCCAATTTGCTAAAAAAAAAAAAACAGGATGTCGATATCGATTTTTATCGATTGCTTGGAAACGGAGTAAGTTATCGATTATCGGAAACAAACTCGATCTGCGCGGGAACTAGGAGCATCTACATCTAAAATTTCAAGTCTCTAGCTCTTATAGGTTCTGAGATCCTTTGGCTCATACATACAGACTGACGGACAGACAGACGGACATGGCTAGATCGACTCGGCTATTGATGCTGATCAAGAGTATATAAACTTTATGGGGTCGGAGGTGCTTCCTTCTGCCTGTTACATACATTTGGATTTTGCACAAATTTAATATACCCTTATACCCATTTTTAATGGGTTCAGGTTATAAAAATATATATATGTATACATATATATAATTATATATATATATTTATATTGTTAGAAAAAAATATAACTTTATTTCAACAGGCGTGACTTATTGGAATTTACAATTTGTGTACGATGCAACTTGACGGATTAACGTCCTCAGTAAAACCCAACTTCTATAATCTTGTCAACGCTAAGCAAACCTCGGCTGAGGGTTCAAGATCATGAGCTCGCTCTTTTTAAACAATGCTCTCATTCTCTTAATGAGTTTTTAGAATATTCTAAGAGCCTGCATTTGAGCTGCGTTGGCAAATTGTGCATTTGGTGGGAACGATTATGGCGGATGTTTATGTCTAATCGTTTTCGATGTTATGATCGGTCCCACGCCAGAATTGTTATTGTCACCAAGAATTTATAGTTTTGGGGCTCAAGGCCTTATTGTTAACAAATTGGGGTGTCTCATGTTACATATGTGGTGCACCACTTAAAACTTTACCCAAAAAATCTTAAAATCGCATTTCTACCGAAGGAGTTTAGATTTTGCGAATGATTTTTTATATACAGCTTTGAAAATGAATTTGAGCGCGAAACGTCACCCACCAAATCCTTGTCCCCCATTTCCACCAAGGAGGAATACATTTTTGGAAAAGGGTGAAACACCCCTTAAATGAATTTGAACAAAGAACTTTGAAATTGAGTTTGAGGCTAATCGGATGGTAAACAAAAAAGTTTCATACAAACTTTTTTCTCGGTTTTACCATACTTGCGGGTGGAATTTTCCGAAACCCCGTCTTAACGTGCACCTTCATCACATAAGGTAACTACAGTGAAAATTTCAGCTTGTTTATGTCTACCAAAGGGGACAGTTTGATCTTGACCAATGTCGATGTTATCACCAGGATTTTTGTTTCCAATATTGGACATGTTGATATTTATACTTATGCTTATGCTAAGTTATGTTAAAGGGTGGGTGCGACTATGAATATGTCACTCCCTAACCATTAGAAAAGTGTCTGTCCTCAGGTGTTTCAGTTTGCGTAAAGTGTAACATTTTTATACCCTGAACCCATTAAAATGGGTATAAGGGTATATTGTATTTGTGCAAAATCCAAATGTATGTAACAGGCAGAAGGAAGCATCTCCGACCCCATAAAGTATATATATTCTTGATCAGCATCAATAGCCGAGTCGATCTAGCCATGTCTGTCTGTCCATCCGTCCGTCCGTCCGTATGTATGAACGCAAGGATCTCAAAACCTATAAGAGCTAGAGATTTGAAATTTTAGATGTAGATGCTCCTAGTTCCCACGCAGGTCGAGTTTGTTTCCGATAATCGATAGCTTACTCCGTGTTCAAGCAGTCGATAAAAATCGATATCGGCATCCTGTTTTTTTTTAGCAAATTGGGTAAATAATAAGACCTAGAGCCACCAAACATGATATGTTGCTTCTAGAATATTATAGATATTTCAAGTATCTTTCATTTCATACCTATCGCCACCTCCCCGCTACCATCCCAGACCTATAAATCAAGTTAATAACCCAACTTTTATTGCCAACCAATTTAAACCACAATTTAAATGCAAAAATTCTATGCTACAATTAGATATACTGCAGAAATTTTCATAGAGATCGGTTAAGAAAAACCAAAGTTATATGCAACTGCGCAATTAAATGGGGCAGCAGCTTTAAGAATTTCTATATACATGTACACACACACATTCATGCGCGTTTGCTTCGCATTCTAATAGCATGCTAATTGCATCTTTTATTTGTAATGTTATTTTAGTTCCTTTTTTATCGTAAGTACTTAATTGTTGGTGTGGCTGTTGAGTAGAGGCATAGCAAGTGGTGCGGTCTGTCGCGAGTTCGAGCTCTACCGGTGAAAGCATTCTTTTTTTTTTTTTTGCTGGTGTGGCTGTTGAGTAGAATCGACAGCAAGTAATGAGGTCAGTTGCGAGTTCGAGCCCTGTCAAGGGAACTTTTTTTTATTAACTTATTTGGTGTTGGAATAAGAGGGTTCAGGGTATCCCCTAGTCGGGAGCTCTCGACTAGAACCTCTTACTTGTTTTTATGTTTGTTTTATGAAATTAATTTGTAGCTTTTTTTTTGTTCTCGGTTTCTTTTTATAGCCTGAACGCATTAAAAATGGGTATAAGAGTATATTGTATTTGTGCGAAATCCAAATGTATGTAACAGGCAGAAGGAAGCATCTCCGACCCATAAAGTATATGTATTCTTGATCTCCATCAACAGCCGAGTCGATATAGCCATGTCCGTCTGACCGTCTGTTTCTATGCGAACTAGTCCCACAGTTTTAAAGCTATCTTAATGAAATTTGCAGAACTCCCTCTTTCTGTTGCACGCATCACATGTGTCATGCTGGATCGGACCACTATATCATATAGCATATATAAGAACGATCGGTCGAAAATAAAGTATTTTTATGAAAAAACATTTTGTTTATCAAGATATCTTGACCAAACTCGGCATTTATTAATTTTACTATGCTCCTCATATATATAAAAAATCCTATTCAGATCGGACCACTATATCATATAGCTGCCATAGGAACGACCGGTCGAAAATTAAGTTATTGTATGGACAAATTTTTTGTTTTTAACGATATATTGACCAAACTCGGCAATTTTTAGTTTAACCATGCTCCTTATATAAATACAAAATCCTATCAACATTGGACCACTATATCATCACTGCCATAAGAGTGATCGGTCGAAAACCAGGTTTTTGATTAAAAACCTTTTTATACCCTTGCAGAAGGTATTATAATTTTGTCGTGAAATGTGTAACGCATAGAAGGAGACATCTCCGACCCCATAAAGTATATATCTTCTTGATCAGCATCAACAGCCGAGTCGATATAGCTATGTCCGTCTGTTCGTCTGTCTGTTTCTATACGAACTAGTCTCTCAGTTTTAAAGCTATCTTAATGCAATTTTGCAGAAGTCCGTCTTTCTGTTGTGAAAACCAGCTGGACCGGACCACTATATCATATAGCTGCCATAGGAACGATCGGACGAAAACTAAGTTTTTGTATGAAAAAACATTTTGTTTTTAAAGACATCTTGACCAAAATCGGTATTAGTTTTGCTATGCTCCTCATACATATACAAAATCCTATTAATATCGGACCACTATATCATATAGCTGCCATTAAGTTGTTGTATAAAAAACATTTTGTTTATCAAGATATCTTGCCCAAACTCGGCATTAACTTTTTTCCCTGTGCTTCTTAGATACGGAAAAAGCACTATAAGCATTATTAAAAGGTTGGGTCTGCAAGGGTATTAGATCTTCGGCGTGACGAAGATAGCCTTTCTTTCTCCTTTTTAAATTC